TATGTGCTCTATAAAACATTGTTTTTATTAAATAAGTCATTTATTAGAACATGTATTTCTTCCACAGTACTCCTTTAGTGGTTCACTAAAAAAAAAAGTTCTTTATGTATTTCATTACTGAGACAGAAACCTCTGAACTTTCATTGAATAGTATGGTAAATTTTGCATGTTGAATAATTTTTGAATATTTACTTCCTCAAATATCCACCAACATTTTCTTCACCTGTTGACTAAGGAATGTATTTGCCACATTTTATCTGTGCACTACTTAATTATCAATAAATTACTAATGCAAGTGATTGATTTTGGTGTATTATTTAAATCAGTTTTTACAGTGGCAGAACAGATATTTCACAGATGATGTGTGGCTTTTTATCTTTTGTATGAAAATACTTAATACTATGTATTGTATTGAGTATCCCAGTGACAATATCAGTGAAAAATATATATTTATGTTTACATTCTGGAGACTTCATGTAATTTTATTATTTTTTATTTCAAGTTTTTATTTAAATTCTAGTTGGTTAACATATAGAGTAATATTAGTTTCAGGTATAGAATTTAGTGATTCATCACTTACCTATAACACTCAGGGCTCATCACAAGTGCGCCCTTTAATCTCCATCACCCATTTAGCCCATCGCCTGCCCACCTCCATCTAGCAACCCTCATTTTGTTCTCGATAGTTAAGAGTCTTATGGTTTGCTTCCCTCTCTTTTCCCCCTTCCCCTATGTTCATCTGTTTTGTTTCTTAAATTCCACATGAGTAAAATCATATGGTATTTGTCTTTCTCCTTGACTTATTTCACTTAGCTTAATATTTCTAATGCCATCCATGTTGTTGCAAATGGCAAGATTTCATTCTTTTTGATGGCTGAGTCATATTTATATTTATGTGTGTGTATGTGTGTGCGCACACACGTACACACCACCTCATGCATTCATCAGTAAATGGGACATTTGGGGTTTTTCCCTTAATTTAGCTGTTGTTGGTAATGCTGCTATAAACATTGGGATACACGTGCCCCTTCAAATCAGTATTTTTGTATCCTTTGGGTAAATACCTAGTAGTGCAATAGCTGGGTCATAGGGCTGCAGACTTAATTTTAAGATGTCTTTCTAATCACACTGGCTTATCATGTTGTTAATTGACCTTTTAAGGCAGAGTATGCACTAAGAATATAGTTCACTGCTAATAATAGTGGATGTAAATCAGTATTTTAGAAATCATTTCTATTGATTCACATCTTGGGGACTGATGATGTCTTGTCAGATATTTAGGTCAACATTGTTTTGACCTCATAATGGTGCTGATAAAGAGCTCATGTTTGAGATTCCTGGAACTTTGCAATGTCCCCCTCTTTATTTCTGTTATTCTGAGCTGTCTCTGTAAAAAATAAAAGCAAAACTCTCATGAACAAAATAGACCTGTGCTTGTCTTTAGGAACAACAATAGAGTAATTAAGGAGACATATTAATCTGTTTGAAATCAACATTGTGGGAAGAAGACTCTTAGGTAATAGAGTTGAGAATGACCAGCTTTGGCTGTTGAGCCTACTGAAGGATTTATTAGTATTACTTGTCTTTTTCAAAGAATCAACTTTTTGCATTTGATGACTTTTTACTTTAAAGTTGTGATTTCTGCTCTTATTTTTTATTTACTTCCTCTTTCTTTGGATTTATCTGTTCTTTCTCTAATTCTTTGAGATAGACACATAAATGATTGCTTTCTAAACTTTTAAAATATAACTTTAGATGCATTTCACCATTTTTTTATCATTTCACTATTACGTTAAGTCAAAAATTTTTTCTAATTACCATTGTGATTTCTTCTTTGATCCATTGGTTATTTAGATGTGTACTGCTTAATTGTCAAATACTTAAGGACTCTGGTTATCACTTATATGTTGATTTCTAGCTTAATTGAAGACATACCATGCTGTCAGTTAATTGGTGAGAGTGCTATGAAAATTCAGTTGGGGGTGATAGTCTTCTCAACAAATGTTACTGGAATGAGTGGGAGAAAAGTTAACCTTCTTGCCTTTGGATTACACCACAAACAAAAGTTAATCTGAGATCATAAAGCTAAAACTACAAAACTTCTGAAGAATATTTTTTAGGCTTTTAAGTAGACTTTAAGCAAAGATTGTTAAAGGACACTGAAAGCACTAAAGGTAAAGAAAAAGTGAGAAATCAGAATTCATCAACATTAAACTCTTCGGATTATCAAAAAGACAAATTGTAAAGGAAAACCACAGACTGGGAGAAAATATATGTAATATGTATATCTGACAAAGAACTGGTATCAGAATATAAAAAGAGCTGCTGTAAATCAGTAATTAAAAAACTATAATTTGGGCAGCCCGGGTGGCTCAGCGGTTTAGTGCCACCTTCAGCCTGAGGCGTGATCCTGGAGACCAGGATCGAGGCCTATGTCAGGTTCCCTGCGGGGAACCTGCTTCTCCCTCTGCCTGTGTCTCTATCTCTCTCTCTGTGTCTCTCATTAATAAATAAATAAAATCTTAAAAAAAACAACTACAATTTAAGAAATGGACAAAATACTTGAACAGATGTTGCATAAAAGAAGATATTTAAAAAGCTACCATTATTAGTCACCAGGGAGTTGCAAATCAAAACTTCACACTAGAATGGCTCAAATTGAAAGTCTGCCAACATCGAAGGTTGATGAGGCTGTGTAAACTGGAACTCCTATGTATTACTGATAGGAGTATAAAATGATACGGCGAATTTGGAAAAATATTTGCTATTTTCTTATAAAGTTAAACATTCGTCAATTCTGTAACCTAGCAGTTCCACTCCTAGGTGTTTATCCAAGAAAAATGGAAATACATGTTTATAAAAAGGTTTGTACAAGAATATTTATAGCAGTGTTATTTATAATGGCCCTAAAATGGAAACTACCAAAGGTCCACTCATAGGGGAATATATTATAAGTTGTAGTATTTTCATATAAAAGAGTACATTTTGTATGAGCCCATTTGTATGAAGTTTAGAACTAATCTATGGTAAAGAAATGAGAATAGTGTTTGTCTTGGGGTTGTGGCAACTGACAAAAAGGGGCATGATGGAACTTCCTGGATTGATAGTATGGCTCTATAGGAGCATTTTGCTTTAAAAAAGTTATTATTTTTGCGATTTCCTTTGAATCTATAGTATGTCAGAATAGTAAGTTCAAAAAAGTACTCTATGGTTTCTATTTGCTGAAATTTCTTGAAACTTACTTTATGACCCACTTTTGGTTAATTTCTATAAATGTTTCATGTGTACCTTAAAAGAATATGTAGTCACAGTTGTTAGGTGCAGTCTTCTACATAGGTTATGAAGGCTGAGTTTAATTGTGTTACTCAAATCTTTTGTCTCCTTGTTCTTTGTCTTTTTTTTTTTTTTTTTGCTCTTCTGTGACTTACTGAGAACTGTATGTTAAAATATTTTATAGTCTTTATAACTTCAAACACACACATCACAGTTATTTTAAAGACCATATCCTATGACTCCTCACCTCTGGGTCCTGTTTTCATTGTCCATTTCTTTCTTGAACCTATGCCCTGGTGTGCCTGGTTATTGTTGATTGAATGTGGGACATTTTGTATAAAGAATCAGATACTGTAGATGGTGGTATCTTTCTCTGTGGGGTTTACTTTTGCTTCTGTTAGGCAGTTAGAGCAGGGCAAAAGTCCTTCATCCAATTGAGGACCGAACAGATTTGATACTCAGCTCTGGTTATTTTTTTGGTTTGCTAACTTTATGTGCCTCTAAGCAGCTGCTTTCTGCTTGGCTTCTCAGCAGTTTTGCCCTGTGCCTCTTACAGATAAGTAGATGTCTTTTTTCTTCTTCATTTTTTTTTCTTTTTTTAAAGAGAGAGAGGAAGAGGAGGGGAGGGGCCAAGGGAGAAAGAGAATCTTAAGCAGTCTCCACCCCCCAGCATGGAGCCCAACATGGAGCTGATCTCACAACTCTGAGACCATGACCTGAGCCAAAATCAAGAGTTGAATGCCTGACCAACCAACCGACTGACAGACTCAGGTGCCCCAAGATCAGTAGATGTCTTGAAAGGAAAAGCAGCATAGTGATTTGCCTCAGTTTTGTTTCTCTTTTCCTCAAGATATTGGCCTCTCATGTCCTGGTTACGTTGGTAGTACTCCAGTGCCTTCAGACAGGTTTTTAAATACCCAGCTTTCCTAGTTCAGTGGAAAGTTGGTCTGATACAAACCAGCCCCTTGTAGCCAGAGCTGGGAATCCTTCTCTAAGCCCATACAGTCAACTCCTTGTCAGGGCCAGATACCCATTGTCACCCTGAGATTTGAAGAGATTTCTTTCTGTATCATTGCCCCAGAACATTGTCTTCTTGAGCTATGCAAAAGGCATATTTGAATCTGGGGCTGTCTCCTGGACATTTACACATCCATTCTATTTAAAATCTGTAGTCGCCGTGTGATGGTTTTCACTCTGGCATGTTTGTAAGAGATCATGCGTGCCCAACCCACAGGGAGCCCATTAACCTAATTAACTCTGTGATTGGTATTTGAATAAAAAGGTTCCTTTGCTACCTCTGGGGGAGGAAACATTCTAATGATTACTGCCTTCAATTCTCTGCTAGGTTGAATTTGTCTTCTAGCTCCTTGAATTTTAGCTAAACTACCATGAAAAATAAATCTGAAAATTCTGTATATAAGGATTGGGAGTCTCAGTATTCATGGATATGATTCTTCCAGTCCCTTCAAAAGTAGAAACAATTTATAAGAAATGCTTTTAAGGCTATAGAATAAATTTAGGCTAAGGAATGCAAGTTTAATATTATTAAACCTAATTTAAAATCTCAGCAAAAACCCACAAAAAAAAAAAAAAAAAAAAACAACCAAAAAAAAAAAAAAAACAACTCCTGTTGTACTTCTGCCAGAATGGAAAAGAGATTCATTCTGAAGGCTTCCCAAGAGGACTGAAGTTATAAAGCTCTTGATGTTTTGTTTTTTTCTCAACAGTTCGCAAGAGCAGTGATGCCCAGGTTTTCTCAACAATGTACTCCATTTCCTGGCACGCTTAACCACTGATCTCCTTTTTATAAGAAGAAAATTTTGGTGGAGAGTTACCCAGCAAGGAAAGGACGTGTGGCTATTAAGTTAGGTAAGTAGTTTGTTTAGAGGATGAGGAGGAAAGTAGCTTATTGGGTAAGTACTAAATAACATTTTTATTTATTGTGAGTGGGATTCTAGAAATGGATAGTATGCATTTCACTGTGAAGTTAAAAGATTCTTGTTACTGATGACCTTCTAATTCTAGATTTAATTCTTAGCTCTTCTTTTAGCAGCTGTATAAACTTGGACATATCACTTAAATTCTCTGATCCCCTTGTCTTTCATCTATAAGAAAAAATTAATATAAAAAGCTTTTGCAAATGGGAGGGTGTAATATTAAAATGTAATTATCACTGTTGTTTTGTAACTATTATAAAATTCTATGAAATAATTAGTGGTCTTGTATCTCATGGTGCTTTTGGACCTTGGAGCTTTGTACTGTGAATTTGGGGGCTTCATCTTGAGTGCCAGTTGTGGGAGACCTTCCCCACCTGCCTCCCCTGCAAGAATACATTATACCATTCTCTTGTGTACAGGTATATGCTACTTTTTAGAAGGTAGCAAGGGATGAAAGTTAAAGTCAAGATCAAAGGAAAGAAAATAACTACCTATATAAGTTGTATGGCAAGCATTTATATTAAGTGTTTGGATACATTATTTCATTAAATCTGCTACCAAATCTTGTAAGGTGGATGTTATCCATACCATGACATTTTTCCTTAAGAGACAGAATCCCTTAGGGAGTCACTTAGAAGAAGATAAAAACCATCCTGATTTATTAAAATTTGAAAGATATTATTGGATGGTAGGAATCTGAAGTTTTAAATTTTTTCTAATGTTTTACAGTACACATGTATGGCTTCTATAATTATAAAGTGGTTAATTAAAAATAAATAATGGATTTTAAGGAATCTTTGTCAAGCACCTATTATGAACTAGATACTGTTTTAGGTGCTTGTTCATATCAGTGAGCAAAACATGAAGATCCCTGCCCTCATGGCACTTATGTTCTAGCATAGAAAGAGACAGAGGATAAATAATGCATGTAACAGAGAAATAAATTACTAAGCTATTAGAAAACCAATAAGAATATGGAAAAGAGAAAAACAAGAGCTAAGGGGAATTGGGAGTGCTGGGTGGCACTTGGAATACAAATTGAAATGTTAAAATGAAACTTCCAAGATCAGCTTCACTGAGAAAGACAGGAAATCAGGAGTTCACCCTGGGCAAGCTCCAGGCAGAGGAAGTAGCCGCTGCAAAGACCCTAAGGAGTGAACATGGTGGGATAGTTCAGGCATAGCCAAGAGGCCAGTGAGCTGGAGCAGAGTGAACAGGACAATAGTGGGAGGTGGGTTTAGAGAGGCAGTGTCAGCTTTGGAGAAAATAATGTCATTTCCTTAGTTCAAATTCATAAGAAAAGTTACCTGTTTTCTTCCTGCCTACTTGGTTTATTCTATGTGTATTCTTCTTCATTTAAAACACACACACACACACACACACACACACACACACACACAATTATACCTCCACCACTGTATTAGTTTTTTAGGGCTACTCTAACAAAGAACCACAAACCTAGGTGGCTTGAAATCACAGAAATGTATTGTCTCACAGTCCTGTAGGCTAGGAATCTAAAATCAAGAGAGGGCCATGCTCCCTCTGAGACATGAAGGGGGAATCCTTTCTTACCCCTTCATAGCTTCTGGTGGTGACCATCAATCCTTGTCTTTCCTAGGTTTGCTGCTGCATCATTTCAGTCTCTGTCCTCACATGTCATTCTCCGTGTGTCTGTGTGTGTGTGTGTGTGTGTGTGTGTTTGTGTGTGTGTCTTCGTCTTCACAGTGCTATCTTTCCTTTTCTTAGGATAGCAGGCATACTAGATTCAGGACTCTACTGCAGCATGATCTCACTTTAATATACTTATAGTGATGCTCTTTCCAAATAAGGTCACATTCTGAGGTACTAATAGGGTAGGACTTCAGTATACCTTTTGGGGGCATAGTTTACCCATAACCATAATGAACAATAGTTGTTACTGTTCCCATCTTATTAGGGGTGAAGCAGGCTCAGAAAGCTTAAGTGATTTGCCCAAAGTTCGAGTCAGCAGAAGCACTAGGTTAGTGCACTGCTGTGGCAGGGATATGAAATGGAGGTGATAGGGAACTATTACGGCTGAGGACAGGAATTGTTCACACACAACATTGCAGTCCCCATTCAACTCCTGAACCCCAAGATAGCTCACAATTGATGCTCTATCTCAGCATTCCTGTCAAAGGGAAAATAAAATGCCCCCTCCATGACCCAACTCCCCATTTTGTGTTTCATTCCATAGCATGACACACAGAGGAAACAGATGCTATTTCCCTATTTTCGGAATTTTTCCCAAAAAATAATACTGTAATTTCTTTGACGTGTAGAACATTTTGTGACGAGACCACATGGGTTTTTCTTACACAACATAGGAAAATATACGGCTGTCTGAGTCAGCATATTGCAGTCGAATTAGGGGATTCTGAAAGCATTTGATAGATTTTGCTCTCATTATATTTAAAAATTCTTTCTTATTATGAAGCTTGTCTAGCCATTTGTGAGTCTGAAATCAGCATTAGAACTTTATTTCTAGTCTTAGTCTTGAGGGATATACCTGAGAAAAGGGAGGGTACACCAAAACAGAACTGAACACTTTTCTGTGAGTCTTAGTAACATCCCTGGGTCAGGCTAAATGTGCATGAAGCCAACAAAGGCAGTATTCCCAGAGGAATTTCTAGATCTTGGTCAAGGAAAAACAAATCCCAAAGCTAAGTATTAAGTCTAGGTGGTAAGACAAAGCATGGCTGAAAAAAAAGGTCATAAGGTCAAAATCAGAAAAATTAGAGGTATGTTAAGAAGTAAAATGTGAGACATATTGAATGGTTCAGAAAGTTGGTTGGGTGAGGGCTTAGGAGGCTTATTTGTCCATGGCCCTGACTGCATGGTGTGAAGTGAGAAGGAGGAGGTGTCCTGTAGGACTGGGTAGTCCCTTACCTGCTTTTATTTTATTTTTTTTTAATTTTTATTTGTTTATGATAGCCACACACAGAGAGAGAGGCAGAGACATAGGCAGAGGGAGAAGCAGGCTCCATGCACCAGGAGCCTGATGTGGGATTCGATCCTGGGTCTCCAGGATCGCGCCCTGGGCCAAAGGCAGGCGCCAAACCGCTGCGCCACCCAGGGATCCCCCTTACCTGCTTTTAAATAGAGTCATTAGCCATTTCTTATTACATACCCTTGTAGTTTCTTTTCAGGGCTCCTTCTTTTTACCTCTGTTTTCAGTATGATTTTATTCCTCCTAAGTTCTTGGACTTCTCGTTTCACTTAACAGCTGACTGCTTTGGATCTGTGTGTTGAAGCATTCATTCTTCTTAGTATCAGAAAAGGGAAAAACTGCCTCTCTTCCAAAGATGCTTCTGCTCTGTTAAAATCGATTTTCTTTGATCCTGAAAGAGTGTGGCAATAGTAAGTTCTTCATATTTTTCTGCTGAATTAAAAAGACCCATAGTCTTTGTTTGATGTCCCCACCACAGAAGGCCACTCCCCAGAATGCAGCAGTCACCTGGGTCTGGTGTGGGGGAGGAGTTCAGGGTTCATAAACACAGGTGCACCCCATTGACTGTTGATTATCTAGCCGGCCCTTTGTAACTGCAGATAAGCAGTTGTTGCTCTTGTTACTGCTGCTTGCTAATTGTCAAAGGCCAAGCAAGCCAGGGGTCACTGGTTTTAATTACTTCCCTATTATAGACATTTTGTGAAAATACTAGGCTTTTCACAAGAAAGGCCTAAAGGTGACAAGTATTAGGACGTAGGGTCTGCTTAGTTCCTCTAAGCACTATGAGATGGGAATAAAATCCTCCTTATTTCCCAGTAGCAGTAGATTGTTGAGCAGTGAGAAATACAGAGGCCTTCAATTAGAAAACAATTAGAAAACATGTATTTTTTTTATTCAGGTGAAATTCACATAGCAAAAAATTAGCCATTGTAACAATTTATTTATTATTTGAGAGGGGGAAGAAAGCACACTCATGAGCGGGAGGGGCAGAGGGAGAAGGGGAGAGAATTTGAAGCAGACTCTGCACTGGATGCGAAGCCTGACATGGGGCTCTGTCTTACGATCCTGAGATCACCACTTGAACCGAAACTAAGAGTCGGACACTGAGACCAGCTGCACCACCCAGACACCCTAGAATTAGCCATTTAGAAGTGAACCATTTAGTGGCAGTTAGTACATTCACAATGTTGTGTGACAATCCCAGAACACTTCCATCACCCCCTGAATTAAAGCCCCCGTACACATTAAGCAGTTATTCCCCATTTCTCCTTCCCCTCAGCTGCTGACAACCATCCATCATCTTTCTGTCTCTAGGGGTTTACCTATCCTAGCTTTTTAGTATAAATGGAATCATATAAAATGTGATTTTTTGTGTGTGTCTGATAAAACACTTCTTTTTAAGTGCAACAAATGCAAATCATTTGTTTTTTTCAGTCTCCTCTTGTCATAACACTGGGAGAGCTGGGGTGCTGCAGAAGTATTAACATCTCTCTAATTAGGCCCTCACAGAGAAAAACCTCTTCAGGAATACCTGCTTCACTTCCACTGTGGGTGGGTTTCTCCATACGAGACAACTAGTAGTTTAGAAATAAGTCGCCTGGGATCCCTGGGTGGCGCAGCGGTTTGGCGCCTGCCTTTGGCCCAGGGCCCGATCCTGGAGACCTGGGATCGAATCCCACATCAGGCTTCTGGTGCATGGGGCCTGCTTCTCCCTCTGGCCGTGTCTCTGCCTCTCTCTCTCTCTCTCTCTCTCTCTCTCTCTCTGTGTGTGACTATCATAAATAAAAAATTAAAAAGAAAAAAGAAAAAAAAAGAAATAAGTCGCCTAATCTGCAGGGATATGAAGAATTCGATTTTGCTTTAGGAAAGAGATCAATTCCCTCTGGCATCCTTTCCCCCCCACCTCCAATTTAGGTCCTTGTCTAGTGGTCCGAACACCAATTTATCCCATCATCCAAATGAAG